TCTCCATTCTCTCACACTCTCTCCCTCTCTTCCTTCTTCACTTCACCTGCAATTCCTCCAACCAAACCACGCATCCTTTAAGAAGAAATTATGGCACCTTCTTAAAATATTCAACTTTATTGATAATTAATATCAGTCAAACAATTTGACTAATTTGTTTTAATGAATTTTTTTAACTATATTTTTTTATATTATAAAAAGAATTGAATTCAGTGTTATTCAGACAACGTTTTTTTTTTTTTTTTTCGATAAATTATATGTATCTAAATAATTAGAACAAATTTTAAAATTTCATATTCTATACCTAATCTAAAATTAACATATTTTACATTTTAGTAATATTTGTGCCTGCTGCAATCATCCACTTAACATTTTGCCAATATAATATAGTTTGTGATAAGGTCAATGTAACAAATTCAATGTACATAGTATTATAATAATAAATTTAATTTTCTGCATATGTGTATCAAAAAGGGAAGGGATCATCTGCAGTTGAAAGAAAACTGCACAGGTGCGACCTTACTTTTACTTTAAAAACAAATTGTTATTTCTTTATCAATGTTTTATTTAAGTAAAAATTTATATCAGAAATTGATATTCATTTGCTTCAAAAATGAAGCGCATAAATGATAATCCCAATGCTAATCCGTATAAAAGGATGCCGACCCCTCATTAGAACTTAAAGTAACATAATTAGGGATCACTCATAGATCCGTACTCGTGAATAATAGTGGATAATATCTAAATTCTGATTTTGATAGGAAATACTTGATTTGACTGAGTATAAATACGGGTAAAACTTTAAACCGGGTATAAGTATATACATATCTGGCTTGTCCCGTATCCATACCCGTCCTCGATTAAGTTATGTTAAAAAAATTTAATATTTTATTATATATAATTATTTATTATAATGTGAAATATTTATAATTGTTTAATTATTAAGAAAAAATAAGATAGATAAACAATTTAATTATAATTATAATATAATGAAAAAATAATTTAAAAATATTATATATTTTCTTTATAAAAAACTAATAATTTTTTATATATACAGGTATACCCGATACTCGATAAAGACAAAAATAAAGATGAAAATTACATTCACAACATAAATTTGAGTTACAGAAATAGAAATGAGTATCGTAAAACCGGTACCTGACCCGCACTTTGCCGTCCTTAAGCAGAAGTAGAGGCGGAACAAAATATGGTTTCAGTTTCGCATTGGTAATTTCAACTTTATACTTTCTTTCTTGGTCTTAGGGTCTTATCTGAATAAATAAAATAAAATAAAAGTTCATACATTCTTTTTTCACTTCATAGATATATTTTTTTATATTTATTTATTAATATCACTTTTGATGTTTACTTTTTTATAGATAATTATGTCTTTTTTGTTGTATTTTGTTTTTTTATTAATATATATTTAAAGATAAAATAGAAAAATATATAATACAAAAAATAATTATCTTCTTTAAAAATAATAATTGTTCACTAATTAATTTTTATCTTTTTTCATGGAAGCATGAAGTGTCTTTTATATATAGAATTTATACATTTGGAACTTTTTCCACTCATTAATCTATGTAAATTTTGCAAAAACAAAAATCTAATATTTTTTTAAAAACAATCTACATATTGAAAAAATTTATCTTATGTGTCTTCATTTTTCCGCTTCATATTAATTGATAGAGTTTCATAATTTCATGAAGCAATAATAGATTTCAGGAATTAAAATAAAATAAAAAATTATTTTAATAATTTTTTTAATATATATATATATTAATTTTAAAATTTATAATTAAAATCTAATTATACATTTCAATAATTGAATATACTATATGTTGGACATTGTAGATTATATATATATATATATATTTTTAATTATTGAGAAAATTTTAAACAATATTTTGGGTCTATTTAATTTATAATTTACCATTTATGGAAATTCTAATTTTTAAATGAATTAGAAGTAATTATAATTTTTTTTAGACATTTTGCATTTCAATGATTTAATGCAATATATATGTTATACACCATAGAATCATAATCCTATAATTATTGAGAGAATTTCTTTTTTGTTTTTATTTTATGTTTAATTTGAAAAAGCATATTATATTTTTCAGATGGATAATCATGTTCACATTTTAGAAGATAATGAAGAATGTATCATTGATTTGAAATAAATGACATTTCATAGGAGGATCAATGTTGTTTATAACAAATTTACAAACAATCAAAATTATTCGAAAAATCTATTGTTATCCGTGAATTGATAAATCATCTATTAGTTTTATGAAATCTCTATATGAAAAAGTTTAAACTTTGATTCCTTATATTTGATTTATGAATTTTATAAAATATATGTTAAATTTTAACATATTATTGATTTTTTTTTTATTGTATACATTTAACAACACATGCCTTTTGATTATTTTTTTTTTTTGAGATTATTATGTTAAAGTTTGAAAATCTTATTCATGTAGTGGATGAAATAAAGAATCTGATATTGTTAGCTAACTCATAATGGAAAAAAAAAATTTGTTGCATATCAAACAATTAAATTTATAAAATTTAATTAATTGGTCTAATTAACTATTACAAATTTGAAAAAATGAAACCTCAATCAATCGATCAATAATTTCAACATATGTAAATTACTAACATTTTTAAGTTAAGAATAAAACAAAAACACAATTTCGTATCTCCAAACAAAAAAAATATTAAAAAATTAATTAATTATATCTAACACATACAACAAAACTATAATCTCCAAAATTATTTAAAAAGAATTTATACAATTAATAATTAAGACTTTTATTTTTTTTGCTTTGATAAGGATCTATAACTTTTTTTTCACTGGATCATCCCTATAAAAATAAAAAGATATCTCTAAGGATGACTTCATACATAAGTTAGAATAAATCCTGGGTCCTTGGTTAAAGAATATAAGTACCAACTTATTTGAATTAACAACTTTTAATATAAATGATACAAAATCAATTTGTTTCTATTATTATAAATAAACATAACAATAATTTCAAAAATATAAAATTAAATACAATTTAAAACATAAAACTAATTAAAATATTTTTTTTATTATATACGTTATAATATAAAATATTTTAAATTAATAATTTATGCATAACATTGATAAATAATAAAAAAATTCCTGTTTTAAACGAAGGTATTATTGTTTTCTCTCTGATTGCGAGGAAAGTAAGTAATGATTATCGAGTTTGAAATAAGAGATCCTCTCTCCACATACATGATGTTAAAAATTAATATTTTTTTTTTCTTCAACAGACTTCAAAACATTATTTTTCATTAATATCTCTTATAGATATAAATATTATACCATTCATCTTTTGTTGTGTTAAAATAAACACATTCCTTTTTTAACAATTACAATGTTACTTTTTAATAATTTATTTCTTGATTCGCATATTCAATTATTATTTTATAATTATTATGAATTTATTTTAAATTAATTGTATTTTTAAGGGAAATATTATTTAAAAGAAATTATCATGACATATATAATTGGTTCCGCAAAATTGGCTCGTGCGCAGTTGCTTAGTTTTGTCCTTCCAATTTTGGTTCTCAAATTTCTCGCCAATTTCGTTCAAGATAGTGCTAATATAAATAACATTTTCTCGTTATAATAAATAAGTTCCACATAACAATAGAACATTTTAAGGCCTAGCCATACTAACACCCAACCCACCATGGTTGCAAGATTTGGTGATTACTTCTGAACTAGTAAGGTAAATTTCTTTTCCTGGATTTGCTTCGAATAACAGGGGGAGTAAACAGATACGGATAATCTATGAACAATTTAATGAGTTTGAATAAGATTTTTTTAGTATTTGGATCAGATCCAATCTAATTAGATAAAATCTGACACTATACAAGTTGAATAACAGGTTTTATGATTCCAAACTATTACTCGACCTAACCCAGTCATATATAATAATAATAATAATAATAATAATAATAATGTTTGAATAATTATTTACTCAGGACAATACACATTTTCATTCTTATTTAATAATAAGTTTTGTATTTTAGATTAATAGTATTATAACAATATAATATGTTTATTTTTAAATTTATTTTGTATTAATTAATGTTGTTTTTTTAAGTTGATAATGATGTAATAAATTAATAAATTTATTTTAGAATTTAATTTGTATTATTATTTATTTTATAGATTGATAATATTATATTTACAACAACGTATCAAATGATTTACATATTTTTTGAAATATTTAATTTTTTATATAAATAAATAAATTTAATTATGTTAACTTGATTAACCCAACTTAATCCAACATGTTTGTGATCGGATTGAGTTGGGTTGGATTTTAAAAAAAAATTGTATAAACTCGATCCAATCCAACTCATTAAATTTGATTGGATCAAATAACGGATCATCCAAACCCGACTTAACGACCCATTTATACTCTTACCAAATAAATAGCCTATTAATGGTATTATATCTGTCGCATTCCTGTCTTTAATTACCTATTGTAACTGCATCGTATATGTTGAACAACAAGATAAATAAATAAATAAATAAAACAATTTTTTTATAAACTAAAAATAACTTATACACAAATTAATTTATAATTTTAGCTTACAAGTTATATGAAAATATTTATAAAAATTAACTTATTTATTTTATTTTTACTATTTTTTTCCTTCTAAGAGTGCCTGTGTAGAACAAACATATCCTTTCCTCAAGAACATACTTATTACTAGTAGCAAACACCCGCGGGGATTAACTTGTTACATTAATTCCAAAGCACATAGGTGGAAGCTAAAAGTAATTCCAAGCATAATGAGATTAATAAAGAATCTCGGGGAAGGCAAACTCCATCAACACTTCTCTATACTACTCGTACCCCAACTAAAATTTCTTTGCAAATTAAGGACTCACTAAGTAAATAAAATCATTAATCCGTATCAAATACAAAAAAGACCTAGTATTTCATCTGTTCATCTCCAAAAGAAGGATTTAATTACATTAATTGTTAATCTATGCATCCTGCAGAAACATGAGCATGATCCTCTATCTGCAGTTTGGGAAATATGGCACAACGTACGACATACAGTATACACAACGACTTAAACTAATCAAACAAATGTGAAAGACACAAACATTAAAAACTACAAGTCTGTACACGCACGCATGCATGTTCCTCCCTAAAAAATATTTAGTAATTGGGTAAGGTTGCAGCTGAGTCGTAAGGAACCCTAGTAACTTTAATCCAATCATCTCCACGAAAAAACTTGTATGGCAAGTAACGGGACACGGCTTCTGAATCGAGGTTCTTGATCCCACGCCATTTCACACGCTTGGATTTGTTTGAACCAGGACCAGTGTTATTGAACTCGGCATAGAAACAAGTGTCCATGCCCGAATGACCATTTGGTCCTTGCCATGGCATATACCCATCAGGTTGAATCAAATCGCCAATGTAGGTGTCTATGAAGACGGTTCTTGAGTAATTCTTCCATGGACGAGCTAGGTAAGCCTTGTTATGAAACTTCACTTTGTGTTCGGACACAATGGAGCCTCCTTGGATCACTGTTCCTGATGGTTGGTGCCTCTCCTTTCTACCTTGTGCTGTCACAATACATTGTTGGTTTTCCATCGGCTTTCTCACCACGAAATTGCAGTTTTGGAAAACAGCCACTGCATCACCGAAGACGAAGTCTATGGTGCCTGAAATGGTGCAATCTCTGTAGAACTGACGCATGGCATGGGCGTATAGTGTGTCTTGATACCCATCCATTGTGCATTTATAGAAAATGGATTTGTCTGCTTGGACCCTTATGGCTACTGCTTGATGTTTGTGGGGGCCAGCAGAGTTCTCAAACCCTAAGTTGATGGCAGCAAAGTAATCTCCTTGAATGGCTGCATATATAACAACATTGCAACCCTTCATCACTCTTCACTCCCAAAGTAATTTAATATATTTACAAAATTCTCCTACATGCTTATATATATCTATGATTTTCTTTTATTTATATTGTGAGTGAGAAAGGAATGTCCGAAGGAATGAAATTAATAGGGAAAAATAGTATCTAGTAATATTTCTCAGGAAATTATATACTAAATGTCCACACCCTTTTGGAGTGGAATAAGGAAGAGATAGAAAGAAAGAGAGTAAATTATGGGTTGTAAAAATACGAGTTGTAAAAGAGTATGACATATATTTAGGGTTACCCTAATTTTCTTTTTTGGTAATTAAATAGCATGGGTAGATGGAGTGGATCTATAAGAAAGATAGGATATGTACGTACCAACAGTGGCGGTTCTGTAAGTATTAATCCCATCTATGAAATTTCTGTTGCCGGTGATTCGTGTCTTGGTGCCACCATCACCCACAAACACGACATGGGTCATGTTCTTCTTGACTTCAACATACTCATGGTAAACACCCTCCTTGATGTAAATGACGAAGGGCTTTTGGTTCTTCTTAGGAACATGCCGCAAGGCCTTGTTGATGCTCCTGTACTTTCCACTCCCATCTTTGGCCACAACCACATCAGGCTTTATAGTCTTTGGACTCGAATGAGCATGAAGGAATCTATGAACACCGTCATTATTAACCCAATAGGGAATAACCCCATCCTCACGATGGACAAAACCACGAACACCCCTTGAATCATCGAGAAGGCGACGACGTCCATTCATGGTCGCATTCAAATCCGCGACAGTGTCTGCAAGCTCTGAGATGATGGCAAGGGCGTTGCTACTGAGGTGCATGGTGACCTTCAACAGTTGCTTCATCTTCCTCCCTCCTTCCCCTGTGGTGTGGTCGAACCCATCCAAACATGTCTCTTGGTACGTGACAGCACCGCTGAGCCAAACCCTCAAAGTGTTGAGGATGTTGTCGAGGTTGTCGAGGTCAAAAGACCGCATTCTCTCCAGCGATCTCTTGAATTCCCCTATGGAAAGATCCATGAGCTGCTTGCACGTGTCAAGCGCCATCTTTGCCCTAGGGTCCTTCTCTACCTCGTTCATCAGATCTGTTTTCTTGATACTGTCACCTATTTTCTTTATGGTAACATTGAAGGCTATTTTTATGAGTTCTCTTGCGTCCGTCGTGTTCCCAGCCTCTGCTCTCAGGCTTTTCTCGCATTCTTTTCTGTAATCTGTGGGTTTGCAAATGGTTTTCACGGCTTTCCTAGTGGAAATAACGTAGGGCTTGGATTTTTCTTCGTCTTCCTCGGAACCTGTCAGATTCAGGTTCACACCAACGGTGACGGCAATGACCATAGCCACTAGGAAGATGCTAGAGACGCCAATGGTGATGAGTCTCCTCTTCTTCCCTACATCTTCCTCAGCCATTTTTAAACCCTATCAACACCTTCAAATTTAAATACATGCAACACCATAAGACATATTGTGATGCTAAACAAATGAATGATGAGAGAAAAGAATTTACATGCAAATGAGATATGGTTAAACTTTGCGGTTATTATTTTTTTTAATTTTTTTCTGTGTTCTGATTCCTGCGCGTGTTATGCAAAATGAGTCGCGCAGAGAAGTGAAGAGAAAGGGCCTGTTGAGGGTGTGGCAATCCTCCTTCAAACCCTTTTGGAGCGTGCATCTCTGAGATTGGCGGGCAAAATGGAAATTTGTTTATATATATACAGATATGAAAGAATGGTTAAAAGATGGTTATGCTGAATGTGACATTTGGAGTCAAATACTAGATTAGCAATATATCTTTTTCTAAAGAGGATGTAGAGCAGAAGCCGCACAATATATAGATAGAACCTTTTAGGTTTGTGTTTTTCTGGGATTATGCTAATGTTAGCATCAGAAGGCCTATTTGAATTCTTCATCCGTTCATTTTAGCGCGCATGGATTTAGCTAGCATTTTGTATTATGTGTTAGTTTTGGCAACCTCTACGCAATTAAAAAAAATGAGTAAAATATGTGGCTTGATATCAAAGGAAATAATAATTAATAAGGGGATAATTAGGTAAGGGAAATCTTTCTAAGTTTTCTTAAACTCATAATTAGAATATGTAGATTCTTGCCACATTGAAGGAAATAATAGATACATAGAGAGAAGGGAAGGGGAAATTACTTATATAAAAATATTGAGTTAAATATATTTTTAGTACTATACATAAAGAAGTTTTGATTTTGACCTTTATAAAATTTTCTCTGAATTTTATATCAAGAAAAAAGTTGAAATTATTGTTTTTAATTTTTACTATTATGTCACACTCATCAAGTGTCATGCATTTAACAAAAGATTAAATAGTTATTTTAAATGAAATTTATTAACGTATATGGTATTCTATTAACATGTGATACTTTTAAAATATTTTTTAAGTTTATAAAATAAATGTTATTTATTTATCTTAAATGAATGTTATGGACAAAAAAAAATTATATTTTAAAGAGATGAAAATTAAAGAATTTTTTACATATAATAGAATAAAAATTGTTAATTTTGTAGACATTAAAAATGTTAATTTCAAAATTTATAGAGATAAAAAAATGCTGAGAAATTTTAGTCATTTTATATATATAAAAAATTGTATTTGAAGCATAAATATTGATAGATACGCGAGGCACTTTCATGTACGATATGGACATATATTCAAATAATTATACATCCTCTGGACGGCGAAAATGTTTAAAATATAAAATACGTGAATAAAAAATATTATAAACTTTAAAGTTTATCTTTTTGGTAGATGTGACAAATATTCTTCAAGGAACATAATCTTTCCCGGCCCAACCGTAAAGTTGTAAAATTAAATGAGATGAAGTTGAAATGTGTAAGCATCATGAAAAAATTCAGTGTAACCCAGCTTTGAAAGGCACTCCTGTCTTTGGCAGCCATTTATCACCTTGAATAAATTTGTGCACTGTGAAATCATCTGCTTCATTTTCATCAATGATATGGTACCCTTCCCATGTGACTCTATCGCTAGTGTTTGAACCAGATCCCCAGTTAGCAAACTCTGCATAATACAGTGTGCTCAAAGCAAAATCCCCCGACCATTCCTTCCAACCCTTTGCATCAATTAGGCCATCCATGAAACATTGCATGTAAACACTCCTCGAATACTCCTTCCAAGGCCTACCCAAATACGTCATTATCCCATTATCATTGCTGCTAGCATCACCCAATTCACTGGATGCTATTATGTTACAGTTGTGTATTGAGATGCCTGTGTTTTGGTTTGGATCCGTTCGGCCTTGTGCTGTGATTGCATTGAATTGGTTTTGCATAGGAAGTCTTGGATACAAGTTACAATCCTGGAGTAGTGCTGCTGCATTGCCAAATATGAAATCCACTGTGCCGTATATGTCACAGCTTTTGTAGAATTGCCTTAGGGAATATACGTAGAGTGTGTCTTGGTAACCTTCAAAACTACAATTGTAGAACGCGGACATGTCTGCCCCGTTTCTCACAGCCACTGCTTGATGCTGGCTCGGCCCCGCAGTGTTACGAAATGTTATGTTCACTGCAACAAACCCTTTTCCATCTACAGCTGCACAACACAGATGTACCAATCACATTAGGTCACACATTTTTCTGAATTAGCATAAGAAAAAGTTAATGCAAAATGCCAAATTGAATGTCTGTTAAGAAAATAGCTAGCCTCATTTTGCATCACATGTTATATATATTTACAAATTATTTAATATCATCATTGTCGATAATTAATCTCGAATTTGTGTTTAATATTTTTATTAGAATATTTCCACTAAATCATATTTTCTATCCACAAATCTCAATACCAGAACTTTATTTAAGAATTTGAGCTTTGTTTTACTCATACTAGCCACACGTTGCTACAAGAAAATAGTACCTGATCATAAGATATATTATATATGTATATCACTGTTGGATTTGAGACTTTTGTTGTAATTAAGCTAAGAATAATATGTAAATAACTTGGTTTCTTTCTCTATCTAGCTCAAGTTCTGAAATTAATGGGCATGCATAAGCAGATAAATGTGACATGACATGTTAGAACATGGGCTACTTACCAAAAGTGGCAGATTGGAAAGTGGTCCAGCCATCAACCACGCTGCGATTGCCAGTGATCACAGTGCGGTTGATGCCATCTCCAACGATCATGAGGTTCTTCTTGCTCTTAGGAACAGACACGTACTCGTTGTAAACCCCAGCGACAACATAAATTACATGGTACCCGTTGTTGGTGCCGGTATTGTTAGGTGCAGCACTCACTGCATCATTGATGTTAGTGAAATCCCCGGAACCATCAGGGTTCACCACCACTTTTTGTGTCACCAGAACATCGTCAACGCTTGTTTGCAATAACTTTCTATTTAGAATAGTCTCAACTGTGGTTGAATTTGAACTTCCCGTGGCATCACTAACCCAACAAAGGGTGAAAAGGGCCAAAGATATGCTATATAGTTTGGTCCCATCAGAAAGAGGACTTGTCAAGGCACTGGTAACTAGAGGATAGGGAGTTATTACCTCGTTAAAACCATCCAAGCATGTTTGTTGGTTGGTTAAAGTTGCACTAAGCAAGGTTTGCAAGTCATAGACCTGATAGCTTGTCATGGTCACGGTGTTTTCAATGGTTTGGAGGACATTGGACAAGAAATCAGTGTTGAGTTCTGCATGATTGAGACAATCTTCAAGGGCGTGTACTGTTGAATAAGGAATGGTGTGTTGGTTTGTGAGATAAGAAGAGACCAGTTCTGAAATGGTTTTTGTTGTTGATAGGGATTGTTGAAGGAAGAAACGGCATCGGTCGTGTGTGGATACATATTGATGGGGGAGAATAGTTTTGCAGAATTCTGGGTAGGGTGTGGCGTCGCACGTGCTTTCCGAGGAGACATGAGAGGAAGAAAAGAAGAGGAAAAGAAGGGCGTACAAAGTAGTCCATGCCTTCATGTTTGTGGCCATAGCAATGTGTTGATGAGACTTCACTTATGCTATTGCATATATATATTTATATTTAACTGCATGCACTAGCATTAATTAAGTACACCTTCAGGTTCAAAATCTGGTTGAGGGAAGAACGGTGTCATAATATACGAATGGTTTTCACTAAATAAACCACAACAGAGAACATGTGATTGTTTTTTATTCTAAACAAAAGAAGTTCAATGGCTATGAACTAAATCAGTCTCACTTAACAGCTCCAATAGCTATGTTGTATTATTAATATATACTAATCGCTCTGACGCTAAATTAATTATTCCATATTGATCAAAGTCTGAGTAATAATTATTTTAAAATTGTATCAATAATGATTTATGATTAGTTATTTGTAAAAAATACAAAAAAAAAATGTTTTAACACTGTAAAATAGGACATATAATTTAAAGTTTCTTTTATAAAAAATTTCGCTCTATACAAATTCAAACTATTATGTATATAAATTTTGTTAATTTTTTAATAATAATAATTACTTTTCCAAGTTATAATAAACATCACTTTTAATTGGTCGAAAAAACACTTTATGATGAACATTAACATATATATAAAACGATCTGACAAGTAATAAAATTTATTTATTTTTTGTATTTTTAAAAATAATTTGAAAAATTATCCTAAATTAATTAAAAAGCCCATTTTAATTTGTTGATATACCAGCATCAGCTGGTTGTGGAAAGATTTTACGTAGTGAATGATCTTTACTTGTTAGTCTTTCTTTCCTCCGGTGTTTGGAACCACGTCCCAAACACGCACGTAGTTGGATGCAAATAACGTTTTATTTTAACATGTTTCATGTATATAGTATATGACGGGACGATAAACGATTTTATTTTCTATATGATTTTATTTCAGTTCGTCAAAATCAATTAAAATGGCGTACGTGCCCTACATATCTCGCACACCATGTGTCTTGTATTAAATAACTGCTTTATTTTAAATTCTAGCGTGTTTCGTATTTTTGTTAGATGTAAATTAAATACATGTAATAAATAATAATAAGAGGAAACAATCAATTTAATCGAGTATTATTAAATTAATCTTTAAAATTTAACTAAAAATTTGGATACAAAAGATTAATATCTTGAATCTAAGGTCCCATCAATTCAGATTAATTTAACACGGAAACTTAAAATAAATTAAAATTTGAAAAGTATAAAATGTGCTTATTAATTTTAATCAAATTACTTTATTATTCTCTAATGTGTTGTTAAACAAACTTTGCTCTAATAATAATAATAAAGAACGAAATTCCTTGTTGCGTGAAAAAAAAAAATGAATACTCCGTATTTAGAAAATGATAAATAGGCATTCCTGTTTTCTTTCTCACAAATCATAGAAATTTGCAAGTCCCACGTTGTGGTTTTATATTGTTTTTGCTTCTGTCTTCTTTGTTAGCAATAGACAAGACGTGTGAATTTTGAGGCCACCAGTAACTTCCTAAGTGGCTTTTCTCATTATGAATTGATTTCAGTCAACGAACGATGGGTTAAGTTAATGGAAGGCATGATTAGATTCCAACGTGCCAAGAAGTCGATAATCATAAGTATTTTACAAACATTTCATGGGCTACAAAATAACAAATAGATTCTATACGCCAAATACCGTATATTCTATTCAACCAATTACTTAACAATCAGCGAACTTGTTCAATTGTTAACGTTGTCCATTAATTGAACAAAATAAGTGGTACGAAAATGCTCGTTTTATCTTCTCTTTTTTGACTCTCAACAAAAATGACAAAAGTCACTATGCATGAGACAACAAATTGACTCGAGCAGAATTTAAATGAGTAAATTCTGTTAATATTCAAATTATGACATTAGATATATTAATCAAATGTTAAATCATTAACAGTAGGATTAGAGTTGTGTGTGCATGAAATTCTAAGTTTGTTTTGAACTTTAAGTACAACTATTGTACAGAAAAAATAAATACCCTTTTAAGACATCTGCAATAAACTAAGGTGAAGATTATTTATTTCTTTTTATATTAACCTTTTGTTTGAAGCATTACTCTTTCGTGTTTTTTGAAGAGTAATGGATATGGGACGCATTGTTAATTAACTCATTAACATTTCTAATTAAGCTGCATTTTTCCATGTGTATGTGGACTGAAGATCTGATTTTGAATTGGAATTACTATACAGCTGAGGATAAGGCTTTCTTCTCCTTATTTATTAAATGATAAACGAGCATAAATTTCAAACGTAAAATTTTGTTCTACATTTACTAATTTAATAGTGCATCAAGTTTCAAATTCATAGAAAATAAAATTGATTTGATTAAGTCTTAAAATTTAAAGTCAAATTCAAGGTTAATTAAATGCGACCAATAAATTTTTGTAACTGGGCACAACTAATGTTAAGTTTATTTTATAAAATTTGTCTGAGAAAATATTTTATAAGGGTTATTTTAATGATTTTTTTTTCACACAACTTCACAATTACGAGATATTGTCCACTTTAGGCTTAAAACCTCACGATTTTACTTTTGATCATCACCCAAAAAACCTCTCTCTAGCATTGAAATACGTGTGTTTTATAAATTATTATTTTTTATCTTTATTTTATTGATGTGGGACTTATTTATATCTCAACAACTAAAAATGAGAGTACTTATGGGTCAAAAGTTGTTTCTAGCTTAACCCGTGGTTAATGCGCAGACAGCTAAAATTGAGGGCACTGATAGAACTAAAATTCGGGACAAAATTCTGACAATCAAACCATTTTTTATTTTTTTACATATTTTACATAAATTTATGTTATGTTCCAAACAAACTCTTCGGGCTCGGAATTTTGAATTCCAAGCAAAAATGTGAACAACCTGAAGCAAGCTAATTATTTTTTTGCATATAATGATGTAATAGCATTTTCCAGAATTTAAAACAGGCTTAACTTAAAATTCCATGCTTGTATAACTTGTCACTACCTTCCACTGGTGATTGACTTAATGCTGGATACCTTTTGAGCTGATCTACTGTACTATCAGATTTCATGACAAGCCCAGCATTCCAATACCAAGGTTGAAGATAGGTTGAATCATTGGATGAGGACCACGAAGATGGATGGAGCATCACAGAACCCCAATCCCTGCTTCCAAGCCTTGCTTCCTTCACTCTTCTCCTCACCAACAACCCTCCCACGTCTTGTTTTTTCATTTCTGATACACTTCTCAGTATTGCAAGGCAAAGCAGAAGCATCAGCACTGCATCTTCTTCTGGCAATACTTCAACAACCAACAGCCTCCAATTTAGAAGTGCAGTTGCTTTTCCATCTGGGTTATCTTCTGTGAAACGTACTACTGTTACAAAACTCTCCTCATCTTCCTCTTCTAAAATTTCTTTCTCCTCTAACTCCATTTTCATTCCTTCATCTTTTCTCTTTGACTTTGGTTTTTTTACTTGATATTGCATCCGCCTCCCTCTCAGTAACTGTACCTGTAAGTAATTGATGGTTGCAACTTGGGAGTTAGACAAGTTAAGAAGCAAAATTTGCACTTGATTTTGGGATAATATTAGGAAGTTGACACTCTACCGATGACTCAGGAGGAGATGTTTGATTTAGCAAACTAAAGGTGAGACCTGACACTGATTGTGATGAATCCCACTGTACTATCAGTTCATCTCCTGTTGAAAAGCACCATGCAGCTTTACATTGTTCCGAAGGTTCCTTTGGTGTTGCGGTGGCCACCACTTTCTCTGTACTAGACAGAAACAAAAACAAGAAAATATTTTAGATTTGCTCCAGAAGGATAAGAGCAGAACTATAATCTTGGTAGTTTGTATTATAACATTGTAGTCAAGCAACAATCGCATCAAAATGGAGACAAAGACATGCAATTAAGGCATTTAATTGTAAAGAAAGAGAAAGGACCAAGGTTTAGCAAAAAGCAAACATAATGTCATAAGAGTACAAAATTTGGGGGCAGTAGGGTATCTATATTTGACAAGTAATGAAGGCTGAGATATTTTTCTGAGTGTTACAAAATATAAACTACCTTCATAAAACTTTTGAATCTGGATTAATAGGAAACAAATAAGACATGAGAGCAAGATATTTTCTGAGCAGAAGTATAGTTTTTTAATTATTCACACCAATATCAGATCCGACTTTCTAGTTTCTCTTTTGACTCCTGTCCACGTGCCTGCAAGGAAGCTAAGACAAACATATTTACCATATATGATTAAATTTATGTAACATGTACATAAAACATACCAGGGGCTCTACCAATGGAATCAGCAACATAAGACCAAGAGCCTTCACGTATCTCTATAATCCTATCTTCCCATTTTACAGATGAAGGAGTTTCACCCCCTCTTCTCCAAAATCCTCCTCCTATCCTGTACTTCAAATATTTGCCTGTTAGTAAGTACAAAGGCATATCACAGTATTAACCGTACAAACTACAAGTATTTCTTAATATCAAGGCAGAGTTAAAGAAGTTCACCTAATTCTAACAACAAAACACACTCTCCCTGCATGATCAAGAACTGTGCGAGACAACCATCGCCCTTCTTGTGGATGATAACTATTCATCTTCAGAATCACATCAGATATCATCGCCCCAGCATCATCAGTGACCCGATCTGGCACACATTTCAACAAGTATGGCACTTGAACTGGTGGGGTAATCGACGTAACAACATTCACCTGTTGACAAACTTCCTTTTCCAATGTTAAAGAATCTGCTCTTAATAAATCATTCCAGCGGAATGAAACACTGTCTAGCAGGCTATTTCCTCTTAGACAGTTACCACCATGTCGACAATACTGTATCATGACTCCCTTAGTCCCGAACTCACAGTAAAAGTGCCAAGCTTTCTTCCATGAATCATTAGTGAAATTGGAGAAGGCTTTATCCAGCTTTAGTTCACTATGACACCTTATTATTCGAAGACGTAGGAAATCACGGTTTATATCCTTATGCAATGTTCTTATTCTTGGCTTAAGCCTTACAAACACACAGACCTACATTGTAAAAATTAGACACATTTCATTCTTTTGTAATACTATCATACACGTTCATGATGTTCTGAACAAGAATTTTTGAAACATGTTATATATTGTTGCAACACCATCACTTATACACTATTGCATTGAAGCTTTGGATAAGTTCCTCTTACATGTATGAGAATATTGCAAACAGAAACAACTGAATTGAGTATTAAAGAACATCCTACCAAAGGTTGTTAGCACAAGTGCCTTAGCACTTGTACTCTTTAACTAAAAATTGGGTTTAATCTCTAACTTGGGCATGGAATCGTGGCTAGAGGTACTACTTTATTCCTATAAGAGTCAACCCTGTGAGATAGAATGTCCTAATTAAACCAAAAAAAAAATTATGTTTAGGAAAACTCAAGCAGAAGAATGTAGCTATAGGATTCTACTGTTTCTACAACCAAGCTCATGATGGTGTCTCCTAACATCAATTTAGTTCGTTTACAACAAAGGCCCAGCAGAAAATAGCAACCCATTACACAACATTCTAGCATGGAACTCTAGTATAAAAGAAAAGATAATAATAGATGCAGACAGAATCAGAGAGAGTGTGAAATTGACCTCTAGTAAAAACCTCGGAAGCATGGACCTGTATTTTGTATTGACATCTGTGGCTGATTCTTCCCAATAGACAGGGGATTTGATTGGGATAACACCTTCCCCTTGGAATGTGAAGGGCACCTCTCCACCAGCTTTCTCATAAGGTTGATTGAATGCCCTGTCCCACAATTTCTTGGTTTCTTCAAACTCCTCTTCCTTCACCGTTTCAGACAGAGTCACCACCTTCTGCAGATCCCCTTCTACACCCAATGCCTTCAAATCCTCCGCATACACTGTTGGGTAGCTCTACTCCATTATTAAAAAAAAAAATTAAGATTAAGACTCGAGGTGTATAGCATGAAATTATGAAGTGCATGAGCATTTATGAGAGGGGAAGGAAAAAAAAAAAGGCATGGAAACTGAAACACACCTGGTGGGTCAACCACATTAAGAGAATGTCGGAAGTAAGAACCAAACGCGAAGAAAACTCACGCGCGAACCTCTGTAGCATAAACAAGAAAGCCTTGTATCTCTGTCTGGCGGCAATCAAGTAAACCACCTCAGACCTGTACGGTTCCACAAACTTAGAACACAACAACCTTTGTTTTTCAACTTCATTAAACAAACTCTCCTTCAAACTCCCTCCAACAAGAGAATCCTGCGAAGAATCCGAACTGGCCTCATTTTCAAACGGCTCAAACGGGTACGTACTGCTCCAAATCTCCCTGCACCGCATCAAAGCATACTCTCTGTTCTCTTCGTCAAAGATGCACGCTCTCCCAATCACCTTCGAGAATCTCCTCTCGCAGTATTCCCTGTAACTAACCTAACACAAACAAAGTACAAACAACATTATATATCGAATAAATTTTATTTTAATTTTATCGTATTTTTGAAGGATAAGGAACTCACGGGGTTTAAAGTGTGACAGAACCAAACCCAGTGAACGTCAAGGGGAGGAAGGATGAAAGGAAAAGTAGTGTCCGGTTGCGTGAGATCAGCAATCAACGGCATCCAGAAATCATGATACCTGTCAAAAACGCTCCACCGTCAGATGAGATTACTATACCATGATTAGACTATAGAGTGTAGAGTATAGAGTTGACCTTCGTATGGCTTCCAGCGTAATGGACGTGTGGTGGAGCCACAGGGAATCCGCGACGGTCCTCAAGAACGCGATATTTCGCCTGGCCGCGGAGACGAGATCGATCCCGAGTGGTATCGCGGCGATTTCCGGTAACTCGCCGAGGCTTCTGGAGGAAGTGCTGGGCGAGATTTCGGAAGCGTCGAGATTATCCGACATGGTTTTGGCGTAAAGTTGAGGAGTGGGAGTGTGGTACTTTTGTTTAGTAAGTGAGAGGCATGATTGAGTTGAGCAGAGAGAGAAAGATGGTTGAGTTTTTACTTTCTAATAATGACTAATGACTAATGAGGGCTATTATGTCGGAGTTTGGAACAAAGAGAATAAGCGGAAAGCAGAGATGGAGTTCAACAAGACACGAATGACTGAAACTGAGTTTTAAGGTGGCCCTGTTTGAACACGTGTCACCATCTCGTGTCTCTACCCATATGCCCCATTTCCTAATCATAACTAATTTTCCATGCTAACCAAACATAATTCCATTATTAACTTTTGTTCGCTATACTTTGTATGCTAATTCACCTAATACATTTATTTGTTTGCCAAGATAACTAGATAGTTTGTCAATTATGAAGAAACAAAGCTTTTGCCTTATGGATTCTCCTAAACTTAAATTGAATATCTTATCCATAACTCAACCAAAAGTTCCTGCACTTAGCCCATAATAACGTTAGCGTGGAAACATGGTCACGTCACCATTCACTAGAAGATTTTCTTTGCCTTGAAGAAGATTTAGTCTTGTAAAACCACTTAACTGGGGAGATAAAATTGTTTTGTGTATTCTGGTGGTAAATGTGGTTTCTGATCTGGTGGTCCCAAACCTGGCATCACAAAAGTTATAATGTGATCCACGTGTCATCACGTGGGTATGAAGATTAAAGAACAGTGTCCACCCGAAACCACTAACTACGATCGGGTGATTCGGTGCATCTGGCCCACATACATGCGATGAGGATGTCTAATGTCATTGTCTTCTCGGCACCATGCTGCCATTTTTGCTAACTGCTCGAGTTTCACGTCACTTGTTAATTAATAAAATTTAAAAAAAATGTAAAAGAAATGCAAATCAATAGTGTTTCCAGTGAGATACGGTTGATTAACGCGGTGATTTTTGGATTCATTTGTGTCGGTATCATTGTTAGAATAATGTTTTACATCTCGAGAAGATAATAATTGGTTGTTAAGTATTGTTCCTGTGTTAGGATACACACTCTAATTATCTTTGTTGTAGCGAGTCTGATCTTGGGTCTCGGTCTTCTCGTTCCTATCCGGGTAGTCCGAAGTCAGGGGTGGGTGTGCCTGCAAAGAAAATAAGAAGCTCAAGTTAGTGGTCGGCGTAATAAATGCGGTAGTTCAGAATTAATTACATACCTCGTTGAAATCCTATTTATAATAATTCTTATTAGGCCGCAATTAGGGACTGGGTCCAGGAAAATTAGGGGTCTAATCATATGCATTATATTAATTAATATCTCCGTAACCATCTTGATGATGCCGACATACTCGGCCGACTCCGTCGACACGTTTCACCCCATTTGGGGGTGGTCGGCGGGTTCGGGTACTCGGCATAAGCAACGGTCTCAGGTATTCGGGCAAGTCGGCCACCATACGGTATACAACCCCCGCAGCGTCAAGGATGAGAGGACGAAGACGGTACAAAAAAGATGGTGACGTGGTATTCGGTGTTGGAGAATAAGGGTCGGTATAGGTGTATCTCGATGCCTCGTCTTGATGATGCTTGGGCCGACCTTAACCATGAGCTCCAGCCGAGGCCTTTTGCAGGCGATGTCTAGGTCGAGACCTTAGCCATGTGAGGTCAAGCCGAGACCTTTTGCAGGTGGTCTAGACCTAGATCTTAACCGTGAGGTCAAGACGAGGCCTTTTGCAGGCGATGTCTAGGCCAAGACCTTAGCCATGTGAGGTCAAGTCGAGGCCTTTTGCAAGCAGTCTAGACCTAGATCTTAACCGTGAGGTCAAGACGAGGCCTTTTGCAGGCGGTTTAGACCGAGATCTTAACCATGTGAGGTTGAGCCGAGGCCTTTTGCAGGCGGTCTAGCCCGAGATCTTAACCATGTGAGGTCAAGCCGAGGGCTTGGGCGTGAGATCCTGCACCGGGGCTTCGAATACTGGTGACTTAGACCGAGGCCTCGGCAGGTGTGGCTTGCCACGTTGGCCCTAGCGGTTACAGGCCCAACGGTTACTAAATCTGGGCCGTTGGATGGTGTAGATCGAACGGTTGTGGCCCGGGGGCGTCTTTTCACCTCCCCCCATTTACCTTGCCTATAAATAGGGGTGTTGGACGTGAAAATTTACGTGCTGTAAATTTTCCGAGCTCTCCCGAGATCATATTCTTCCGAACAACCCGAGCAAGGTAAAATTTTGTATTCTTTAATTTTAGCAATAACTGGATAAAGGCTACGTTTCGGCGAGGAGTTGGACGTCTTCGGAAGCATCGGGCGCTTCATCAGATAAAGAGGGGTCGGCTTCAAGTGAAATATCAAGGTTGCCACCGTTGCAGTGTGTAACAGCCCAAGCAACCCGCATGTAGATATTGTCCGCTTTGGCCCACGGCCTCACGGATTTGTTTCTGGCAATGGCACGCATGCCACCCCAAAACGCGTCTACACAAGGAAGGTATCCACACCCATATATATGGCATGCTTCGTTCTCCTTCCTAACCGATGTGGGACTATATCCACCCCCCCTCAAGGGAGTCCAGCGCCCTCGCTGGCACACCGGCCCGGG